TAAGTTATAATTTTGATTATTAACATGATAATTTTTAAATCTTTCATATTTCATTAATGCAATTAAAAAAAAAATTATCATTCAATCTGAATTATCCTTTCTAAGTTTAGAAATGCATTCTTGGTTATCAGTATTCCTTTCAATTCCAGTTTTCCATTTTCTGATAATAATATCAGTTCCTCTTCAGTTATTAAAATATGAATTTTTCATTCTTCATATTTATTCATTAATGATATCAAACATTTCATCAATAAAATTTCATTACTGAAAATTAAAATGACAAATACAAAGGTGTAAATATAATAAATAGAGTAAAGAAACTTTGCAAAATGAGTGTTATCCAATATTTTATCCTGGTAATCGTTAATTGGAAATTATATTTGAAAAGAAAATTAAAAATTCCAAAAAGTTTATTACTAATAAATATCGTCTTATTAATAATCAGGATTTCCCTATCCTAAATAATTTTCATTCGAAGAGAAAAAAAATGGCATATTTATAATTAATTTGAATAATCAATTAATAAATGGTATTGATAAGAAAGGCATAGATAACCGGTAGTAAATTTTCTTTTTCATTTCATTTCATTTCATGTTCAAATTTAGAAGGATTTAAATCATTATCGATTTTATTTAAATGCAACAAATGATACTTTAAATGGGATTTTAATGAAAATTTTTTGTTTTAAAATAGTCAAATATTAATCAGTTTGTGTTCGGTAGCATTTTTAGTTTCATTTCGTATTTAAATTCAAATAATTTTAGCAAAGTATTTTTGAGAATTTCAATATGTAAAAAGAAAAGAATAGCTTCGAATAAATTTGTGAATTTGAAAAATATTAAAAATCATTAGACTTCATTACTTATTCCTGCAACTGAAATTGATCACATATTAATTGGTCACTTAATAACTTCATCATTATTAGCATCAACAAACACTGAAATGATAATTTTAGTCCTGTGCACTTACTTATCATAAGATAAATGATAACAACCAGCTTAAGGAATAATTTTTATCCAAACTGTATCAAATCGAATCGATTTGCATGCCATTTGATTCAGATATGTTTCATGTATCGTTTAAATTACTGTAAATCAAGTACGGTCAATTAAGCTTGCAAAGAAAATTGATGAGAATTCTTAATAAAAATTGAAATTTAATTCGATATGTGGTTAGCTTTTTTCAATTGTATGTTAATTGCGCATTTAATCAAATTTCACTTTTTCCGCCTAATTAAAAATTTTCAATGGAAAATTTGAAAATTTCTAAAATGTGTTGATGAAAAGTTCAAAAAAAATAAAGTAGAAAAAAAATGTTAGCGCTAATTGCATGCATAATCAAATTTTAATTTTCCCGTTTGAATTAGAAATTACTAATAAAAAATTTCACCAATTTCTACCTGGAAGGTTTTTATGAAGTTTGAGAAAGTAACAGAAATGAATAAATTATCAAATTTATCATCTTCATCGTTTACAATATTTTGATAATTTCATAATAGCTAGCAGTTAATTGCTGCAATTAATTCCATACAACTTTTGATGGGACAATTATGCATTGTGCTAAATTTATGACAAATTCAATAATTCAAGTAACTTTTTGTAAAGAAATTAAAAATTAAATTTTTTAAAGGTTATTTAAAAAAAAAAGAAGACTAAAAATATGTCAGAGTAGTTTTTTCTGTTGCTTTTTTTTAATGAATAAAAAATTTTTTGATTCTTTTTTTTCGAACTTTTTCTTTAAAATATAAAACAAAATTACGAACAAATTATCGTTTTTTTATTTATTTTTTATTATTTCGTCATTGTTTGAAAAAAAAAAACATTTTTATTGTTTTAAGTTTTAAAGATAAACGAAAAACGTTTTTTCCTTACTCATTTAGTGGATAAAATTGGAAAAGGAAATGATGAAATGATTAGATATAAAAAGTATGCCAATGCATTCTAACATTGTAATAATAATTAAAATTTATTTGCAAAATTATAATTTAAAAATTAAAATGAAATTTGGACTCAAAAAATTGAAAGAGTACTATGAAAAAATTTGATTTAAATTGTAAAAATTCCAACGAAATAGTGCATGAGTACTTTTGAGGTGACAAAGTGTTACATTGTCATCGTTAAACTTTTTAACACTTCAATCAGTTGCAACACAATTATTCATTTCTATTCATTACTTATCATAAATTCGTATATTTTATGTTTCTTTTTTTTAATTCATGATTATATTTTAATTAAGAATTTTAGCAATTATTAATTTATTGCTAGTAAATTTTGAATCACCTTTTCTTTACTCTCATTTTCTTCGTGACAGCATTTTAGTTGACAATTTTTGAAAGTAATTAGTAATAGAAAAGAACGAAGAAAATTTCCCCGTTTTCTTTTCTTTTAATTAATAACTCTTTGAAAGTAATTGTTGTCAAAAAAGTAAAAAAAAAAGTAATTTTTCACTATTTCTTTGTAACCATTCCTACATCGCTGTAATTAACGATTTATAATTAATGTATTGACAATAATTTTAATAATTTATAATTAAAAACGTTAAAATTGTTAAAATTTTAACAATTCATGATTTTAACAATTTTTAATTGAAAATTAAAAAGCAATTAAAAAAATTATAACTAATAATTCATAATTAAAAACGAAAAGGTAATGATAATTACATTTCATTTTTTATTTTAATACCAAAACACTATGCATTGTTGATTGCATTATTAAAATTTCTCATATTTCTGCCTTGTTGTTTAAAAAAAAAATGGAATTTTATTTTTGAGAAATATTAAACAAAAATATTAAATGATAGAAATATGTTAGGATAGTACAGATACAAAAAAAAAAAAGATATTAGGTGGATGCAAATAATTAAATAATATTTAAATACTAAAATATATGCTTAATTTAGGAATTAAAAGTGAAAGCGGAAAAAAAAGGAGAGAGGGAAAGAAAAAGAAAGAGGTAGAAAGAGAATAGTTATCAGAAGGATTAATATAATATTATTGAGAGAATTGTAAAATAAAATATGATACTTTCTTTGGAATTATAATTGCATTAACCGTTCTCAACGATATTTTAAAAAAAAAATCATTACTTTTTTTAAATAAGAATTAACAATTTTTACATTTTTTTCTTTCTTTTTCAACAAATTTTGATGGAAATAATAAATTTTATTTTTAATGTTGTTAATTTTAATAAAAATTTAAATTTCAATTTAAAATTTCAGATTTTTATTAAGAAATAACATTACGATAAAAATGAAACATATAATTTGCATTACGACAGTTAAAAATGAACCATTTAATTTCCAATAACAATAGTTGATCAATATTTATATATTTTCATACTGTATATATGGTAGAACATGGGCAGTGTGGATGAAAAATATCATGCATTCTATGGATTAATACATTACCTAAATTCTTCGAAAAATTCAAATAACTCAATTTCTGAATTTTGTTTTTGAATTTCTCGAACAAGAGGAAAACACACATGTTGTCATATGATAGTTTGATCAGAAATGATGGCATTATTTAGTAAGTTTAAAAGATATATGTATAATTAAAAATTGGAACATATATTTTCTATTCTTTTTTCTGCAAAATATGCTAATTTAAAATTAACAAGCTAAAGTATTGATATTTGTTCTGAAAACATGATAAAATTTTAAAAAACATATCTAGCAAAATTACAGTACTCTCAGGATGTACAGTATACCCCACTTATGTACAGTACACCCTACTTACGATAACCGTAAATGGTAACAGATGATAATAAAAGCATGGAAATGTAACAATTTCAGGCATTGAAAACTATTATTAATCGTTAACCATTAACATCCTTCCTAATTATCACCTATTTTTCGCATAAGCATAATTGAATAACAAGAGAAAAAATGATCAGAAATTAATGTGTTTAACAAAAATGGACACGATAATTACAGTAATGGATACAGTGATGAATACAGTAGTGAATATAGAATAACAGAAAGTGAAATAATTGCTATTAACCATTTTGATCCATGCTCAGCTAACGGAAATGGAAGAGTTACCTATTTTGAGGACAAATCATCATTGATTGAAGGATGATCATGTTCCTGCAAATTCATGAAATAATATTGATGGAAATCCTTTAAAAAGTTGCAAAAACCATTGTATTAATTTGTCATTAATTAATTGTATTACATAATTATAATTACCGTTGTTTTATATGTCATTAATAACTTGTCATTAGTAACTTATTAATAACTTATAATTAGTTTCTCATTGTGCATAATTAAATAATTAATATCTTATCATAAAGCGATGCTTCAGAAAGCCTTATTACTCTTTTTTTTTTTTTTTTGAACGAATTTACAAAATGGATATGCTTCCGTGCATTACTCTTTCATATTTTCATAATCACTATCATATTTCTGCATATTACAGTAATGGATACAGTAATGAATACAGTATATCGGTAATGAAATAAAATGAAATAATTGTTATTAATCATTTCGATCTAAGCTTAATTAACAGTAACAAAAGATTTTTTTCTTTTTTTGTTAAAATTTTTTCTTTTTCAAATTCATGCAGAATGTGATTTAATCTTTGTTCACTGTTGTTATTTCATAAAAATTTCATTTCACCACTTTCTTTTATTGCAGTATTTTAAATTTTTTCCGAATTAATAATTTAATTATTTGAGTGATTTAAGTATTTCGATTTAAATTTAATTGTTAGCACTATTTGTCGAAGTAAAAAGCACAGAGGATAGAATTTAAAGTCAGGAATTATTATTATTTTTTTTTAAATCAAATATCATTGGATAGGGAATAGTTAATCCAGTACAGAAAGAAATCAAGAACTGCATCATATCACTGATAATAACATTAGTTAAGAATCAGATACGAAATCTGATAAGGCATAAATATGCATCTTTTTTATTTTAATAATATTTTTAATTAATATTTGATAATTTTTTAATTGTATTTACTTAATTTCTCTTATCTGAATCTACTTTTTGGAATATTTAAATAGTTGTAATATTATTTGTAATATGCAAATTGTTAACATATAAAAGTTTACCAGGTTTTTGCTTACTTTCTGCAATCACTTTATCAATAACCACTTTGATACCTTCATATGTTTCTCTACCAACTGGTATAAGTTCTCGTTTATCCAAAATAAAACCATTTTTTGCTATAAATAAAAATTTAATATTTAAATCAATTTTTATAAGCTAAATGAAAATGTAATAAGACTATATATATTAAGTTATAAGCTAAATTCATACTCACAAATAGCATGCTTCTAATTTTTTTGATCTTTAATCTTTAATATTAATTCTAATTTATTAATTCATTTCTTTTTTTTTTGTTTTGTTTTGTACTAAAGAAATGAAAAAAAATTTAAACTATAAACAAACATGATCCTGAAGGTCGTAGTTCAACTGTATATGAATACTTCGCATTTGTTGCTTGCTTAACCCAATCCGATGATCCACCAGAAAATGCATCTGTAAAATTTAAAAAAAAAATTAAATTTGAAATAATTTCATAATTCCGTATTGTTTTACTTTTATCTACAAATTAATTTATGTAATTGTATACTATATTAGCAGTATTTGCAAATTTCTATCAATCTTTTTGTATTTTAATAATGATATTTTTTTTTCGTTTATTTGTACATTAAAATACGATAATACTTATTTCTTAATTCATTCATTTATCTATTTTATTAATATAATTTTTATTCACATTTTACAATACTCATTAACTTATAATAATTTTTGTTTTATTTTTATAAGAAAACAAAAACATACATATAACTTCAGGTCCAGTACCATAATCATATTTTGTCCCATATAATTTCATTAATGAAATTACAGCATCTTTTGCAACTGCACGCTGTAAATTTTATTAATATCAATTTGTTTTATATATAATTAAAATTTATTATCAAAAATTTTAATTTAATATTTAATACTTACTAAATCTTTAATATCAGATGAATATGCATTTGATGTATGTGAATATGGATAAATCCATAGTTGCGAATAAGTATGCAATGTTATATATGCTTTTATCCGTTTACGTAATGGTAAAATAGCATCACGTACAGCTCTGGAAAAGATTAGCATTAGTAATATTATAAAATTTGCATAAATAAAATTTGTAAATGTAAATTTCTTAATCCTTACTGTTTAATTTAGCTTATTTTGATGAAAGAATGTTGGAAGAGAAAGGTGGAAATTTTTCAAATTAAATAGAAAAATTTTAATTTTTAAAAACTTCACAAATATTCCACATATTATCATACGCCAACGATTTCCAAAAAAAAAAAAATTGAGAAAAAAAAAAGAAATTGTCCAATTCTTGTAATTTTAGCGAAATTCATTCCAAAACATAAAACCAAAAAAAAGCCTAAAACTCAATAAATTTTCATTCAATAAGCTCAACAACAAAAAGAAAAAGTATTTTAAAATTAAAATTTTTGAAAATGAAAAAGATTAGCTTTGTTTCCGGTTCGCTAAATGCATGATTGCCATGATAAATATTTGAACATGGTGAAGAACTGGATCCAACTTCTGGAAAAAAGAAAAAGGCGAAAAAAAGTATCGAATGAATTGGACAGGTGACAAACAAAATTATAGACTGTGAAAAATTTTTTGCAAAAAAAACGACACGAAAACTTTTTCAGGTATCTCTTTTTTTTTTCTGTCACGTTGTTTCCAAAAATTCGTTGTAAAAGAGTTTTAAACAGATAAAAATGAGCTATTATTGCTTAAAAATTTAATTTTTTTTTCATGACATTTTTTTATAATGTAAAATAATTTTTGAAAATCAAAAAATTTAAAATTTAGTTCAAATTAGGAGGTTGAAAGACAAAAGTGCAGATACAATCGAAAATAATACTTTAAATTTAAAGTAAATGCAAAAGTATAAAGTGAATTTCAAAGATTCAAACGACCATGAAATGAGATGTTTAATTAGAAAATTGAACATTTTTTTTGTTTTTCATTTTTTGCAAAATTATTTTAATATTCCTTTTCCGTACAGATATTAATAATTAATTTTTTTTCCACAGGTATTATTAATTAATTCATTTTTACTATGAAAAAAAAATTTACATCTATTTCACTATTATGTTATAATATTTCAGGTAAATTTTATTGTTTTTAATTCAAATCATTTTTCATTTTTTTTTCAAAAAAAAAATTAAATTTCATCAACATATTATTTCATTTACATTTTTAGTGTTCAAATTATTCCACTCATACATATATAGCTATTCATTAAAGGAAACAAATTGAAACAAAATTTGCAAATGGTTTAAAAATATTCCAAAAATTTGAATACTTGCAAAATTGTGAACCAATTACTTTTAATCTGTTTACAATTTGATCAGTTTTTTTTTTTTTTGATCTGTTTATACTGCAAACCTTTTATCACTTTTTAATTCTTTCTTGCATTTCTCTTCCAATTTAATTCTATAATTAAACAGTTAAACAGCATTTTTTTCCATTTGTAAATAGGTTTTTCCTTTTCAAGTAGTTTAAATTCTAAATTTAAAATTCATAATATAATATAAAAAAAAGTATGTAAAGTAATAGAGAAATTTTTCGATATTATATTTTCTTTTTTGAATTAGAAATGATTATTGTCAATAAGCGTACATAAATATCAAAATGAAATTTTGCTTTAGTTTTTTTTTTTTTTGTTTTTTAATTTCTAATTATAAGTATTACCACTAAAATGAAAGGCAAAATTTCGATTTAAATCAACTCCTCGACAATACAATTTTTTGCCATTTTCCCATAAATAATATTTTCTTGTTCCACGATTTTTACGCCACAATCGAATCTGCAAAAGAATCGTTTAAAAAACTAGAATTTATTTATTTTCATTTCTTTTTTTCTTTTTTACACACACAATTCAATTTCTGCCTAATCCATTTATCATTGTTCCATCTCTCTGTATTAATTAAAAAACAAAAATTTGTTATTTCATAAATTAAAATTGAAAAAACAAAAATTTTTCAAAAAAATTTTACAAAAACAAATATTTGAAAAATTATCAATTATTTATTGATAGTTTCTGTTTTAATTACTATTAACATATTTTTATATATTAAATATATTCTATTATACCATATTAGTATATTTTATTATTGTTAATTTCTTTTTTTTTTTTTTTTGACAATACAATTCAGAAAAACAATGAATGATTAATTCAATTGGTCAAATAACAATACAATTCGGAGAAACAGTCAATGACTAATTCAAATGGTCAAATAATTTAATTCATTAATTAACAAAAATAAAAAAAAAGGAATTAATTACTGAATAAAAGAATTTGTTTAATTAATATAATAAATATTTGAATAACAAATAAATTTACGGATGGATCGTTTGGTTGTGATCGAGTATATTCATAACCATCCGGATTCAGGCATGGATAGATATAAATATCAAACCGTTTCAAATATTCCGCAATTTTTGGATTTGAATAATATTCGGTAATTAGCTAAAAATTTCTCATATTAAATAATCATTTAATATTCGGTTTGGATTAATTTGAAAATTTTTCGAAATCATTTGTTGTTCTTTTTCTCCAATCTTTACCTGAAACTTCCATTTTCCTTCTTCTTCGTTTTTGTTTTATGAAATTTTTCAAAATTTTTAAATTATAAAATGGACGAAATTGTTGTAAAAATATGGCTACCATGGAATGGTAATGAAATTAGTTATTTTATGTAATTAATTTCATGTTATTTTGCATAAATCATAAAAGTGTAATGTTTATGCAAGTAAACAACTTTTATAATTTAAAAAATTTAGATAAGAATTTGTGATATTTTTGCAAAAATTAATCTTATAAAAAGAGAAATGATATAATGGAGAAAGAGAAGAAAGAAAAAAGTTTAATAAAATACTTGTTTAATTAAATACAATGCAGTATGAACAGCCGCCCATTCTCTAGCATGAATACCGGCATCAATCCAAATTACTGGTTTTGAGTTGCTATCCTTGGTACCAAGCTGAAAAATTCAATAAATTTCAATTTAATTATGCAAAATTTTATTTATATTTTATAAATTACCAATCTTTACTTCTTTTTTTTATTTACATTTTCTTTTCCTTAATAAAATAAAAAACCTATGTATTAATTATTAATTTAAAAAGAAAAAATTGGAATTGATAATTCATTAATACAATTTTTTAAAATAATGAATACTATTAAGGTTTCATTAATATAATTAAGCTTTAATAGCTAAAAAAACGAAAGAAAGAAAAGGTAATAATGCTAAAATCAATCGTGTGAAATTTTAGATTGAATAAGAAATCAATATTGAATATTAACAATACAATAATAATTTAAATTCAATACTTATTTAGTATAACATACCTTAACCCCATAGATGATCCTTTTTTCAGCTGTGCTACCAATACTTTTAACTGTTACAATATTATGATGTTGCCATTCCAAATTTTTTAACCAATAAATGATTTGATCATAGGAATGATAATCACCCAGGAAAGTATTTGAATTTCTGATATTATCATCCCAAAATCGCCTTTCTTCACCAAATAGCTCACTTCTTCTTGTTACCAATTCTTTTTTGCTTTGTAAATATCTAAATAATTGCTAATCGAATTACTATAGCTGTTACTTTTGTTATTAATAAAATAATAAATTAATAAATAATTTTAATGAACTGAAAACATGGAGTAAAATAAATTAAATCAAAAATTTTAAATGTAAGCAAAAGATGGAAATTTAATAAACAAACAAAAGATGCAAATTAAGTAAATTAAATAAAAATATATTTGTTTGCAAAAAATGTTTAAATTATTAAAAAGAAGGTCTATATTATACAATAGTAATTACAGCTGTAATTAATATCTTTAAAAAATTAAAAGGAAAAAACTAAAACAAAATAGAACTGATTAGACTAAATCATATTGTATCAAAAAATCCTTAGGGAAAATACTTATTATTTTGATAAAAATTAAAAAAAAATAAAAAATAAATTAATAACACAAGCTAAATCATATTGTATCAAAAAAATCTTTAGAGAAAATACTTATCATTTTGATAAAAAGAAAAAAAAAGAAGTAATAGCATACTGTGCATAATCGTTCACTTCGATATGATAAGGAATCGATTTATGTCCTAACAATTGATCAAATTTATTGATAAATCCTGGATTGATCATAACATAAATGGTTTCATTGATTTTTGTTGGTGCCTTCCAAAAATCTGCCTAAAATTTAAGTTAAATTAAACTTTTTATCTTTGCTTTTCTTTCCTTTTCTTTTCTTTATTTT